TTTATAAGCGTAATAGAATACAAAACAATGATTTTTAAATTTTTTGTCTGTTTGTCTGTTTGTCTGTTTGTCTGTTTGTCTGTTTGTCGGTTTGTCTGTGCGTTTGTGCACGATAATCGCAGAAACGGCTGAACCTATTTAAATGCAGTTTTCACTATTATGTTGCGGCATTCTTCCGTTAACATTTAGTATAAGATTTATTTCAATAGGTTCACAAATAAAAAAGTTATGTTAATTTGAAGTGACGTGGTCGCCAAAATTGCTATGAAATATTTACTGTTTTATTAAATTTTCGTCTTTAATATATTGATCATCATCATCAACTCTTTCACAGCCAAACTGCAGGGCCTCAGGCCTTTGTTTAATAATTTTTGGTCACCCATCCCGTACACAACTCTTGCGAAAATTGCTTAGCAATAGCGATCGTGCGCAGCGGTGCATATCCGTAGCGCCAGCGAGCTGCGAATTAATATTGTCTAAAAAATGAAAATTTGTATGAAGACTAATAAAAAAATAAGATTCCAAAATTTTGACTACTCGAAGTATGTTGACCTTATTTCTATATGGCCAATTATATTAAATAGGGTTCAGCTTATAAAAGACGTGTGGTATACGATCACGCGAGTAGGAGAACAAGCGGAAAAAGCCTTCCGATGATGCAATTAAGCCTCGAGTAGTTTACAGTGAACGCATATTTTTATCAGATTAGGTTCACGTCGTCGTCGGTGCTTGCGGAGGTGGTTGGCAGCCGCCCCCAGATTGCACGGTTTCGTCTGTCTGGGAATGGCACTCGATTTACCCAAGCCTCTCCAATTTCATCTGCAATGGGACCAATGGTCCAATACTTGAGAGTCCTGGTGGCTCGGCCATAGCTTGCCGGGTTTCGTCTCCCATGAGAGGGTGTATCGTACGGGTTTTGGTGGGTAGGCCTCTGGGGACCTACTGGGCAGCTCGCTTTCGGATTCACGGAGGAGAATCCTACTCACCCCTGTTGCCTGCCAGGTAACATAGACAATGTCAGAAGTTTTTCCACGACGTTAAAAAAGTTAGATTCACATCAACTGAAGTTAAGAACGTAAAGATAACTCGATTTTATATATATTTTTTCTCTTATTACTATTTTGTTATGTTAATACTCCTTTTTTTTAACATACAAATTGCTGTAGATACGTACTTCAAAGTTGGTATTTTCAGTCTTCGCTGGAAACGATGGTTTATTCATTTGGTCACAACACATATAATATTACGTGAGTCTGAGGATCGGTTCAGAGTAGCTCGGTGGTGTAGTGAATAAACGCCGAGGCTCACGATTGTAGTTGTTAAGCAACATTCGCAAAGGTCTTTAACGGGATGGGTGACCAAAAAATATTATCTCAAGCAACTCCAAGCTTTGGAAGGCACGTAAAGTGATTGGTCCCGGTTGAATTTGCAGTCGTTAATGTCCTCCAATTGCCATTGGGCCAACATGGAGGGTCGTGGCCCATCCTCCTTAATCCATAAGGCTCCTGCAGTTGGTGACGTAAAAGAGCTGATGATGATGATGAGGGCCGTTCAAATCTGACGGAAGCTCAGTTAAGCATCTCTCGGAAGTATGTGTTAGTAGACGATTTCCTTCGAGTGTAGAAAGTCGAAATTAAAATATGTATATATTTTTATATCAATAAATAAAACTCCACGTATCTTCCTTCAGACATGTACCGACCGACTTTTATTGACAAAGAAAGAGATCGGACGGAAAGCGCTCGGTCTCGGGAGACACCTGAAAAATGTGAAACGTATTTAACTGCCTATCGCCAGGCTCATGCACTATAAAGTTGAATCTGAAGCATTTACTGTCAGGGACAATCTCTTGAGCTCTCGGAGAACTCATACAACAAGCGTTTGATCTCAGGAAACTTCTGATGATCGCATAGCGCGTCTAACTGCTGATCGTAATATACATGCAGTATGGTATGAGTATGAAACTTCCTTTCATAGAGAAATGTGCTTGGTCTCTGAAAGAACTCGCAGTTTGCACAATAAAGATCGAGAAAGTAGTTTCTATTATCGCCAACCCGTGTTGCATTCATACTCCACAGGCATACCGCAGATAAGTTTTCACAAGGTATAATGAACTAGCTGTCTTCCCGCGATTTTGCCGCAAAATTATAGCCTATGACATCCGTGATGTAACTTCCCGTAGATAGAATCGCTCTGAAACTCTTGGTCCAGTAGTTTTTGGGCAAATGTTTGTTATTATTAGTAAATCTTAGGTATAAGAGGTCCGATGGCGTAGTAGGTTAGAGCATTCAATTTAAATTGCAGTGAAATAAATAAGTTAAATACTGCACAACAAGGACACTTTTTTATTATTATTACAATAAAAAAAGTTTAGTCAATGATGTAATTACCATTAGTATCTAAGACTTCTTGCCAACGATCCGGCAAAGTTTGGATGCCTTTTGCCCAGAACTCTGATGGCTGTGCCTCGAAAAAGTTGTTCAACTCCGCCTCTACCCCGCAAATGCTGTTTCAGAGCTCTAAACAAATGATAGTCTGATGGGGCGAGGTCTGGGGAATAAGGTGGGTGGGGTATCATCTCCCAGCCCAAGTTCTCCAACTGCCGGCGAACCACAGATGCGACGTGAGGTCGAGCGTTATCGTGCAGTAAAACTACATTGACTCGTCTTCGTCGTTTTTTCTTGATAGCGGCAGATAATTTGGTAAGCTGGGTTGAATATTTGTCAGCGTTTATAGTTTCATTGTGTAATAGCTCATAAAACAGTATGCCTTGCGCATCCCAGAAACAGCAAAGCAGAATTTTTCGGCGGTTCTATTGACTCGGCTGCGGTTGAGTTGGTGGCGTTTCTTCTCGAGGCAGCCAAAAAGCACGACGTGTATCGTTCTCGTAAGAAATCCATGATTCATCTCCAGTAACCAGATCTGACAAAAACTCTTTACGTCGGGGTTGCAGCAAAAGTGACTGACAGATAGCGACACGGACTGCACGACTGGCGTCTGTAAGGATGTGCGGTACCCACCGAGCCAAAACTTTTCGATAACCAAGCTCATGCAGATGGTGTTCCACGGCGTGGTGACTGCATTTAAGTGCTTCCGCTAATTCACGAGTGGTAGCATCCGGATTAGACTGCAGTTCGCGGCGCAAATCGTCATCATTCACTGCGGGTGATCGCCCTGAGTGTGGCTGACTTTCAAGGCTCCTGTCTCCTGATTTAAAACGGTCAAATCATCGGGACACCGTCGCATGGCTTGTACTTCCAGCGCCTAATGCATTGTTGATATTGTCAGCTGCAGCCCGCGCACTGTGGCCTAACAAGTACTCGTATAAGTATAGTGTTCGAACTTGTCGCTCGTCCATTTTTCTTCAAACTGACTAAACAAATCGCGAGCGCGGCTTTATATACCCTACACCAGAAGTACCTAGAATGTTCTACAACATTCTAGAATATTATCGAAAAAATTGATTTTAAAAAGGAAATGTTATAGATTTTTCTAGTGTGTCTCATTACTTTTGTGCCAACCCATTACATGAATACTTATTTTATGTAACTAAGTACAAACGACAAACTCATCGCTAGCAAGCGATTTCTTCCAGGCAACCTATCATTACATGGAAAAAAGAACAATAAGTAGCCGATTGTGCATACAACTACACAAATAATAATAATTTAAAAAGATCAAAAACAAAAGAAGGACAATTTCAAGGTATGAATAAAATTCTCAGACACAAACGACAACCAGAGCGCGAGAACAAGAAAAAAGATAGAAAATTACATTCGTAAGGACAGGATGGGTGACCAAAACATTATTATCCTGAGCACTGTGCACAACACTGGCACAATGTACGTTAAGCCGTTAGTCTTGGCTGCATTAGCAACGTTAACACCCACCGATCCGCATTAAGCCCGCATTGTGGGTTATGGCCCATTGATCTTATTCGATTCGACTCCATCCATAGGAATAAAATAATTCTACAAAAATACTTCCCACGCAGACGAAGTTGCGGGCACAGCTAGTAGGTAAATAATTCATAAATAATTTTAATACATTTATTGATCAAAAAGGTGTTTACAGTGGAATAATTAATCTATTTGCACTCAATTTTCAGTTAATAGCTTACTGTATGTTTTCAAAAACTTTTAGCGATATGTTAAGAAAATAAAGCTATCAATAAATTTTATTACAAATTTTACTAATATTATTCAAATACGATTTTCGCTAACTAGCTAATCTGTTTGTGAAATTTATTGCTTTTTCCAAATGAGCGCCATCTAGTATCAAGTTGCCAAACTACCTATATTAAGTAATAAGATGTGAGATTACTTAAATATACAGATAATACAATGAATTGTACAATAACTATAAGGATTCTTTTAAGAAGATTTAATAACCAATAAATTTAATTACAAACTTAATTAATATATTCAAATACAAATTCCGCTAATTAACCAAATCACTTGGTGAATTTTATTCCTTCTTTTTTGTGAAATGAGCGCCGCCTAGTATCAAGCTTGCAAACTAGCTGCTCCGTATTAAGTTACTATAATACATACGGATAATACAATGAATTCTGCATCTAGTCCGAGAGATGGCGAGACTTGTAATTTTTTTTTATTCAGTTGTTGCATGAAATAAATAAAGTGATATTATTACAGTCATAAGTATTGTCAATATTTATTTGCCCTTTTCAGTGTTGTTTTATTTTATTTATTTATTATTTAAAGTTACGGTGATACATTTATTATACACGCTTATATTATGGTGTGTTCCGTCACAACCGCAGCATTTTAAGCCAATTAATAATTCTACAGCCCACTTTGAACTAAATCATTAATAGATTAAACCTCGAAGTAAAATAAATTATAGAAATTTTTAGCTTATGTAAATATAGAGATCAAAAATTATCTCGATAACGTGCTCGGTGTACTATAATATCATATGAATCACATTTATCATAAATGATAAATACAAAAGCGTTTTTGTCACAATCGCTAATTTACCTGTATATAGCACCTCTTGTGAGGCTCGTGGTACAATTCGTAATCACTCGACGAACCCTCTGGCTTCTGTGTGCATCGCCACTGAAACAAAAAGTGCCCGTAAATAATCGTAAATCATTAGCGTACACACTGCCTTGCCAGCAGAGCGATTCTGTAAAAATCCGAACCCGAATTTCAATTCACTTATGTATCCGAAATCACGTCATTTAGTAAAGAACTTTAATGAAAATAAAAATGATTGACTATAAGTTTCTCAGGTATTCTATTCCTATGTCATTTCGAAACTCACTTCACATCAGCCACGAAACGTTATAACCAATTCCAATTCAAGGTGAATTCGAGTTGGGGTTTGGGTTTGTACAGAATCGCAGGGCAGAACGCAAAATATATTACTGTGTGTGACGGAGACAAGTAGTCCCTCTTTACTCTCACATTATTATATATTGAATTGCTTCTTGTACGTTTTGAGGATACTCTCAGCCTTGTATCTGTATATTGCAAATATATTCTCAACTTGAAATGAATATGGAAATAAGATTATTTAAAGATTCTTTACTTAACTCGAGTATGTTGTTTCTTTGACATTGTTTTTTTTTTCATACTTAGGTGTTCGCCGGCTTTCATTTATTTATTTAAGCTTTTTTGCACAAATTAAAATGTACAAATGGCGGACTTAATGTCATAGGGGCATTTTCCACAAGTCAACCGGAGAGTTGTAGCAGAGAGCTTTTAAAAAAAGTTGTGCAACAAGAAACAGAGAGACAAACAGTTTCAATGTGAAAAATTAAATAACAAACTACCAATACCTATGCATAAATTTTCATATATATACAACATTTATAAATACATTCATAAATAAATATGTATATAAAGTTGATTGACTTATATATATATATATATATATTATATATTGAATGACTATATATATATGTCGCAGTAAGATAGATAAAGCCATAATATAGTTATATCCCTAGGGATATAACTACATACCGTAACATACGAGTTATAAAGCGGTCTAAGTTTAGTGATATACTTATATTACTAGATTAAGTTCAGTGTTATAAATATATTACCTGATTAAGCTTAGTTAAATAGAAAACTACCATATATAATTAAATTAAACAATATTATATTGGTTTTTTTTTAATTAAAAAATCAACTTTATGTATCCTGCAGCTAGTTACAATACTTTGTGACATTAACATGTATTAAAGTAATTTCAATTATAATTAAAACGATCATATTTTTTTGGAATTTAAACAACAATAACAATACACATAATACTATGTAATCAAACATTAAAATATTTATAGCTAATCAACAGTTTTGAGATATCTTTATTTCTTATCAACTCAGTTGAGATCTTGGTTTCTTAAAAAGTATTATTTAATTTTTGTTCAGACGTGAAGGGGAATCATGACATCTAGAAATACATAGCACTGAATGCTTCTTACAGGTACATATTTTAGTAGAACACTGTATATTCGATTATTTACAGGAACATTTTAAATAACCTTGGCCACCAAAACGCGACAATTTTTGGCATATTTCTCTCATCATAATCATCATCACCAGCCCTTTTACGTGCCCACTGCAGAGGCTCAGGCCTTCCTTATTGGAGGATTGGAGGGTATTAACGACTGCAAAAGTAGCCGGTACCAGCGGCTTAACGTGCCTTCTGAAGCACGGAGTAGCTCGAGATAATAATTTGTAACGACTACGATCGCGGGCCGCGGCGCTTATCCACTACGCAACCAAGACCATATTTCTCTTGGTGACAAGTTTTCATTTGGTATAGGATCATTCAAAGTAATGTTTGAAAGCTGTATTGCATTTCTGGGTAACTTTCAGGATACCAACTGATGTTCCAATTTTATCACTTTCATTTCACTTTTCTAAAACTTTTCCTAATACATTTTATTGATCCAATGGTCCACGATCTATCTTTGGTATCTCTATAAGAAGTGAAGATCCCATGTGAATGTCAGGAAATTTCTGTGATGAGTGGATTTTTATTTTATGTGCGGCTTTTCTTCAGTTTTCGGCAGCTATTTCACTGAACTTAATCTAGTAATATAAGTATATCACTAAACTTGGACCGCTTTATAACTATATTTCTAGTGAGATAGTAATGAATTGCTTCCGTATAACTATGTTACGGTATGTAGTTTTATCCCTAGGGATATAACTATATAACGGCTTTATCTATCTTACTGCGACATATATATATAAACAAATAAAAATATATACTTACATAAACAATTTAACCACAACCACAGAAGAATTCAATAGATTGTTCAATAGATTGAAGGCAACTTTATGTGGAGCAGCTTGTATATGGGAACGCAGTACATTCCAGAATAGTATAGCTTGAAGCGAAAATGAATTGAAAATGAAACCTGTCTGGTGAGAAGGAAAAGTGAGAGTTTTTTTGCTGTCTGAACGAAGATTACGGCTGTGAGAAGCGATAAGATACTGAAATTTACATTTTAAATATCCAGGCGCGCACGGATCTTCAAGTATAGAATAGAAAGTGGAGAGGATCCTCAGGTTCCGACGCTGGCGAATTTTTAGCCATTTCAACTTTTTCGTAAAGGCAGAGACATGTTTATATTTACGAATGCAGAAAATAAAGCGAATGCAATTATTGAGTTAACGATCCAGTTTGTTTAGAAGTTCCTGCGTGATGTCAGCATAATACTCATCAGCATAGTCAATAATAGGAAAGATTATTGATTGGACTATGAGGATTTTAGTGGAGATGGGAAGAATATTTTTGAATCGATAAAAAGACCTAAGTATGCCAATTACTTTACCACAGACAGCGTCAATCTGCGTCCTCCAGTTCAGTGAGCTGTCAATGCAAATACCCATACAAATAACATCACTTTCCAACATTCGATCTATTTGATCATAATACAGTCGTTTGTACATACGTATTCAAAGCAACAGAATATATCTCAATTATTTCACACCGAAATGTCGTTATCAGTCTTTTTCCTTATTTTTATTTTTATTGTGATTACAGTCTGGAGTGTTTTCTACGATCTCTTGGTAGGATTGCAATCACCTGCATTTGCTTTACTCGTATGCTCTGTGAAATAAACAGTTCTCGATAAATAGGATAAGTTTTTATTCAGTACAGTTTTTCCCTGCGGTTGATAATTGGGAGCTTAATTTAGTATATATTTAATAACTATTTTGATTGCATATTTGATTTCCAAATCTTTCAATATTTATGGCAACTATTTAATTAATTTCTATGATCATTGAATTAGTTTATTTTTAACCTCATTTGATTTGGTATTCATTGTTTTATTGACTGTTGATATGTGTACTATTTAAGCGTTATGTGCAGTAGTAATATTTAATAATAATGAATAATTTCTACTATTTTTTAATAGGAAGCTAAAGAAGCATGAAACGAGTTTGTATTAACGAATTGTAAGCGTGTGATCTTAATATGTTTTCTGTTGCTATACCAAAATAAAATAAAAATAAATAAATAAAAACACAGTGTAGGTATTGTGTGTGTAGGTAGGTATTTATATATCGATAAAGTGTTTATTTATTTTATACGTACCAATTTATGAACATGACTATACAAATATTTATATTGTATAAAGGAACACAACTTAATAATAAACTTGGTTACGCCAGGCAACACGTCCGTGGATTTATAGCGGTTCAGGTGTTTTAAGTTTAGAACTTTCGAAAGTTAAGTGTAGTCTTTAGGGTAAGTTATTAACTTTCCAAGTAGATAATATGTTCGTTCATATCACATTAATTTAATGAATTCTATTGAGTTTTACCACAGAACACAGAAAGACGTTAGAAGGGCCTTGTGGGCGTGGCAGTGTAGCCATGATCCTGGACAAATGTACAGGATTGTGACTTCACCACGCGATCGCGATGTTTAGTCATTCACGAACGCGCGCGCTGTAAGTACTGTGAAACACGCCACTAAAAGTCTTAAAAATGCCGACTTGCGCAGTTATTAATTGCAAAACAAGAAGCCCATCCTCAAGTAAGTCCAAAGGAAGGATTTCTTTCCATTAGTAAGTAGAACACTTCTCGAATTTAGTATTTTTAGTCGAAATTCGTGAAATGTTATCAAAAGTGTGAATCACAAAAAATATTTCCAAGAAAATATACATTGCTGGAGAAGTGCGCATATTAAATACTAAGCACGTAATGTAAAGAACATGCGAAATCACCGTTTTAAATAGCAACATAATAGATTACGGTAGATGGGTAGTGAAGTGCCTGGAAACATTTAATCGATTCTTGGTGTGTTAGTTAGTAAAAACTAAATAAAAGTATGGACTATAAAAACAGTGGTAATAAAAAATAAATTCAATCAGAGATTAACCATATTGACTTCGTTTGGTATGCGTTTGTAAATTAATTTAATAATGAGTGTGGTAATAAGTCTGTTTTTATATTCTTAATATTGTAACAGAAAATTAGTTTTTTTTTTTTATTATTTTGAACCATAAACAACAATACTATTTAAATCATCGGAATCCGTTCAGGATAAGTTCCAATAGCATTTATTGTACTGATAGTATTTTTTTATTTTGTATATATTTGTTTATTGTTTGTCAATATTATTAGTTTCATTTTTGCCGATCTTATCTGTTTACTTGATACGAAATCGAGTAACGTAACGTAAAAAAAATATCTACTATGATTATTAATAAACAAACATTTTTATATGCATATAAATATTTAAGCTCGACTAATACCAATTCACTGTTAGTTCATTAGTAATTAGTAATTTAAATATTTCTTATTGAATCAACCAACTAATTAAGAATTAATATCTAAAGAAAAAAGATAATGTCTCATTTAATCAATACAATTCAATGTATATCCAAACTAATATAAAGAAATCATTACTCTAGTATCCTTTCAATGAATCGACTTGTTGTTTTTCAATATCGATAGTAAATAATTTTATGTCAATCACTAGTGTGATATGTCAAATTAAAATGGCTTTTACACGTTTATTGCGCATTATAGATGTCTGTTATGGTTGAGCGTGATTAGTTATAGTTATATTGGAGCGTTCTGATTGG